AATCTTTCCTCTTCATACTGTTAACTGTAGACTGTATGCACACGTGGCACCATCACAGGTCAAAGAGGTTCTTCAGAAAAGATGGCTAACTTATGAACTCGAGTGTCACAAGATTGACAGCAATCTCATGTTTGACCTCTCCAAGCGTCAGCTCAGCATGATATCATTTACAATTTAGCGTCAATTAATACAATATAAGGTCAATTTTTCTGGGTTTTTAAACCAAAAACGTATCAAAATAGTATTTATTAATAGTATTTATAATATTCAAAAATAAAAAAAAATAACTTTTTGGTTATTTTTACACTCGTGTGTCCTCGTGGTCACTCGTGTGTCCTCGTGGTCATCCGTGTGTCCTCGTGGTCACTCGTGTGTACTTTTAGATCATATCGTAAAAAAGTAGGCGAAACAACTTACGGACGTTTCGGACGTTAATCCTTTGTGGGAATAAAGAGATGAAACTGAAATTTTACGGCGTAAAACTCTATCTATTCTTTAGAAACACCGACGCAGCTCACACTAGTTTATCGCTTGTTTCCACCATTTTTTACAATTGAATTGCAGACTGAATGACTGACTGACTGATTGACAGACTGTTGAAAGACTTACTAATTGAACACTCAATTAATTACCTGTAACCGCTACATGACCAACGATGCCTTGGTTTAATGGAATAGTTAAGTCCCAGCCTTCCTGGAATTTCAATAGGCAAAAAGGATAATTGATTATGCTGCATATCTAATAGCTTTTATGAATTATTAAGTGATGGTTGTGAGATAGCAAGTCTTAAAATTGATATGAATCTTGTGACGGACTACCCTGCAAACAGGGCACTCTATTCACAGCGTAGTGCAGCACATCACTAGCACAACAAGACACAATGATAGCATAGGATCAGTGCTTGCAAAGACATTAGTGATACACTGAAAATTAATGTTTCTAAGCAAGTATTTAAAACATTTTCATTTGGTGTAAACCAACATGAAGGGAAATCTAACCTTGTGTTTTCCATTTCCAGGAATTTCTCCATCAAATACTTTAGCCACAAGTTCATTGTGTTCATGGTCAAGCATGAATAACGAGCACCTAGAATACAAACATCAATACAATCATTACAACCTCAGGTGGGGAGACAACTGCGCAACAGAATTTAATGTGCAATAGACCATGTGAAAAAGGGCGTGGCTRTTGTAACRYSTTAGTTTATAAGATGTTTAATATATCATTACTACCCGTTGAAAGAACATATTAAAATGAATAAGATCTGAAGTTTTAATGCTCCAACATGGACCAAAAATTACAAARGTTTGAGTGAAAAACAGTATTGAGGCCTTACCAGCCTCGTTTTCATGTTTTTAGTAAAATTTAAATGCTCGTAACTCTGCTGATATTCAACATTTGAAACTATAACTCCTCCAATGTACTAGTTGAGATATACTTTTCTTTATGGAGAAAACATATATTTTTTTTAAAATGGACTGTTTAAGGTGCTCATTCTCAGTCTTCTGCTCGATTTTCATATGGTCAATAATGCTTTTTTTTCTAATCAGCTTGAGTGGCATCTGTTTTTAGTTGACAAGAAACTCTCTTTTGCATGAAGTATTAGTAACTCTGCTGCAAACAAAACGTACAAACCTTTCTGCATTGGTTAAGTTCCTGGCCTCTGTCATTATTTCATTTAGAAGAAGACTGACATCATCTGTGACAACATGATTGATGATGTTATTACAATGTAAAGATGCAAAAATTCATGTGATCAAGATCTAGAAAAACTAACGTCTTTTTCTGATGCTACAGTAGCTTTAACATGGTTGCACCGGCAGTTCTTTAAATAATATTATTGATACCTGCATGTGTAAAGAGATTTTTGGCTACTTGAAGAAGTTTCTATAAAAAACAAAAAGAACATTAATTATAACTTTTGTCTGATTATATATATAATAGTGTAGAATTTCAGTGTACCTTTTATAACATATATAATAATGATTGTAATAAAATGTTATAATAAATTTGTTGTGCAAATCTTAACCGTAGACTTGCCACAGGTCAACTACACTTAATTCTCAATTTTTTTTCCCAACAGTCACCTCTTGTTGTCTTTTGATAACCATTTCTTTCTCCCATTCTAATGAGTTCTCAAGAAGACCAGTAATGTTCTTACAACAGAACTTTAAAGTACTTTCATCTTCCTTAGTAAATCTAAGTACAACAATTATACAATTCAAAAAAAGACTACTGTCACTTCCCCCCCAAAATCAAAAGATTCTCATCCCCTCCCCCCCAATAAAACACATTAGGAAAAAAACTGCCCTGCCATAAAATTCAAAAGATTCCCATCCCTCCCTCCCAAATAAAACACATAAAAAAAGACTACACTGTACCCTCCCCCAGAAATCAAAAGATTCCCATCCCCCAATAAAACACATCAGAAAAAAATGAATACAGGTCATTTCGCACAAAAGACCATTCGCACAAGTTGTTTCGCCCATATTTCGGACCGTTCGCACAATTTTAAGAAGACACTTTGCACAGAAAATTATAAGTGAGCAAAATAATTTTATTGAGATTCTTACTGCACTATATTGAATAAGTTTGAAATAACAGTGTTTCTGAATTTGTATACACATTCGATCGAACGCGGTACCGCGGTCGGCGTGTTTTTCTATCCTTCTTTCCTGCCTTTGTTGTTCTGTTTATCCTGTTTGGTTCGGCTTTTTCTTTGCCATTTCGAAAATTGTTGTTGATGTCTTTCAAGTTAGACTTATTAGGATGAAATGTCTTAATCTGAAACACGCTAATAGAAACACGCTAATAGAAACACGCTAATAGAAACACGCTAATAGAAACACGCTAATAGAAACACGCTTAGGCTGGACAAGGAACAAAGTCAAAGAAAACTACACAAAAATGTTTTACTAGAATTTGTAGATGGTGAACTTTCAAGATTTTATTTCTTCCACTGTTTTAGAGGACGCTATTTCTAAATTTTATTGATATAAAACTTCAAATTTTTCCATAAATATTGATTTAAAAGCCATAAGATTTCATCGAAAGTGATATATATTATTAGAGTAGATTGATATATCTTTCGTATCTTTCTTTGAGGCGTTTTATTTTCTGTGCGAAATGACTATCCATCGATATGAGAATTGTGCGAATGGTCCGAAACTTCGGGCGAAACGACTTGTGCGAACGGTCTCTTGTGCGAAATAACCTGATACCACTAGTACCCCTCCCCCCAGAAAAAAAAATCCCATTAGGTTTTTAAAATAAGCCTCCATTGTGGGATTTCTGGTGTCCATTACTCGGATGTAGCTCAATGTGATTGGTTTGGATTTTGAGACATTTTTTATAACAAAAGAGATTTAATTCCTGTACAGGATACCTGGAAGCTGGTAGGTCTTTGTTAAATGCACACACGATACCAATGATTTCATCAGTCTTGAGACTAACAACTGGTAAACACAGTAACGACTGGACATAGTAATCTGCAATGTTGGAAAAACAATTATGATTTTAGGCAAAAGGAAAAACATTAAATTTTTCATATTTCCAAACGATCATAGGATCAAGTTTGTTGTCTTATAAATTATAACCTAAAATTATATTAACTTCATGATGTAAAATTATTTCATGTCACTAACCAGTGATTCTGCTAATATCAAATCGTTCCTTTGTTTTCTAGTGAGCACAAATATTTTGATTAATCATTATTAACTAATACTAATAAAATGATTTTTTGGATAAATTATCTAGACATACTAGAGTGAACTCTATTTACACCATGGCATAACAAAAAATATAATGAAATCTTCATATTATGCCATTATTTATGATGTACATTCTTTGATAGCCTGGGAAAGTAAGCTGTTTCAAAATATTTGGCCTTAGGTGATGCTACAGGGTAGTATATTATACACACGACAGAAAGACAAATGACTCAGTTAATGTAATTATATTAAACAAACTGATGCCAAATGTTGACAAAAACATTCATTTGTTGGGAGAGCAGAAAATTKAAAGTATGGTCTAATCATCTTGACTTTCAAATGTATACATTGACCATGTGTATACGTGTGGCCTTGTTAAGTACTAGGATATATGAGGCATGTCCCTAGTATTCACTTYACATCGGTTGTTGGGAGACCTTCCGAAAGATGTGTGTGTTTWTAATCATTGAAATAATTATATACTAAAGCTGAATGGTATGAATTRACACTTACCTGAGAAATATCATTAATATTTAAAATACGTTTAGACTGAATGACA